CAGGGGTGGTCTTACTAGGGTTTTATAAAGCGGTACTAATACTTCGTGTGATCTTGATTCTATGCCTCTGTTTATACAACCAGGATTGTATTAGGTTTTTTGGCTGCTGCTGCACAATGCTGGCTCATGGTTAAGTGTTCAAGTCCGTTGAGATCCATTTAGATCTTGAGCCTATCTTCTGGGCTTGTCTATCTTCTGGGCCTACCTTCTGCAATTGATAAAGAAATGGCAATTAGGCATTCTGCTTGTTTTTCCATATAGATTTCCTAGTTCAGGAAATATGGACTGTTTTTGCATTTCTGGATTTCCAGAAATTACATTTGCAATTCACTAAAAATGGTTGTTGCATCTTCATGCTTTAGTTAAGTGAAGACAATGAATAGAAATTAGAGTTCTTGGTAACTCCTTTGCAACTTTGGAATATATTGGAAAACCTTGATTTTGACAAATTTTATTTGTTTATTTATTTATTAAACCTATCTACTGCCCATCTCTATCCTAATTTTTCTGGAACAATTTTATGTTAAGGCCCCATGTTAATTCTTTATACTGTACTCTGCAAATGTAGGATATTTAAGTTAGTATGCTTATTTGATGGTTACTAGACTTGCCTTTGCTTGTAAAATCAAATTCATGTCTAATTCTATTAGTTACGTTCTGCACACAGAGGGAAGAGAAATTTGTGTACTGAGCTAGTGGATGGCATATTTGTGCACCAAGAAAAACTATGTATATGTTGCGCAAGTAGTCACACCAGCCTCTATGTTCGTGAAATTCTCATTGCCTATTACCAAATCTTATTCAGGAAAGCAAACATCAGTGTTCATTTTCCCAGAGTGAAGGTAATTTGCTTATGACATTGCTTTAGGAAAACTGGTGTTATCTCTGTTCTGCCCCTTTTCAAGTACTGAGGTGAGAGCTCTTGGATGAAAGATTAAAATAAAGAATGGTTGGAAGGAAAATATTTTTTCTTATCCTTTCTCCAGCTTCAGATATTATTTTGGTGCATGTAGGACTTAAAAAGTGACAGAGCTAGAAATAGACAAGGATAACGTCTTTTTCAGATTGAATGTGATTCCTGATGACATCATGGACACAGCTATGTATTTGATTTGGCAGCAAAATGGAAGTGGTTTACCATTGCCTTTTTCCAGACTGCAGGTTCTAACCAGGTCCATCCTGCTGAGATTTTCAAGATCAGCCACAGTGGGTTAGATGATGCTACAAAGATTTCTCATAGACATAACCTATGTAGGTTCCCCATAATGTGACTAGGAAACATCCTGTTTGTTAGTATTTAAGACAATATGAAGAACTCATGGTCTAACAAGGTTTCTGGCAGAAAAGTCTGAAATGCAGATGTGTTGAGTTATGAACTTTTTTCCTTTTTGCTGGATAAGTTCCATTCACATTTCGGCCACTTCATTTGTAAAATTCTTGCAGGAAGTTCATGGCTAATGAACTCCCTATAGGAAAATCTCATGTACTAAGTTCATTTTGGTGATCTGTCACCTGGTATTTCTCCCCTTATTTGTACATTTTGTTTAACAAACGCTGATCTGTTTATTGTAAAGAAAAAAGGTTTCCTTAGCACCTGAGAAAATAGGAGAAAAGAAATGTTAGTAATCCCCAATAATATTTTGAAAAACAAATATATTTATACAAGTGGTGTTGTGCTTTGAATGTTTTGTGCAAACTGTTGCTATGGCATTAGATGTTTCTGTAGATGAAAGAAGAAGAAAATGCTGTTTGTTCAGTCAATGACCTGCCAAATTAAAAAAAAAATACGCACCAAAGCAAAGTTAAGTAGATGTGATTAAAATACCAGCATAACAAAGATAAAGTAACAGATAAGAATGTAATGTACTTATTATAAAGGTATACTGATTGCCTTCAATCTATGAAGTAAATCAGCTAAAATGAGATAGCTGGCAAGTATTAAACATGAAATGATAAATAAATCAGAAGCATTTTTTTCCATAAGCAGTTATGCCTTATTATCATCATGGCAATATAGAATTTGGCAACTGCACAAGCGATAAAGGATTTGGAATCTTTCAGAAGATAATTCACGGAGAAATTGTATGCCTTTCCTGAAAATTTACATTTGAGGGGCAGAATATAAGCAGACCTGATACCCCTGTAAAATTTGCAGTGTAATATTACATGCGAAATAGTTTCAGTCTCCTCTGTAGATGACAGCAAACAGAGCTCTGTCCCTCAGGAAAACAAAATAAGTTAATGTGGTTTGAAGAACTAAGAAGAGATTGGACAACCATTTGTCTGAAATGATACAGGGTTTCCTTCCTGAGGAGGGGGTTGGACTAGAACAGGGGTCCCCAACCCGCGGGATGTGAAAACGAGCCACCGCCGCACCACAAGGTGCAAAAATGGGATGCTGCTGCATCGCGGGGCACAAAAACAGGATGCTGCCACGCCTCGGGGTGCAACAACGGGCTGATGCCATGCAGCGGAGCATGGAAATGGGATGCCGCTGTGCCACGGGGCGTGGAAGCAGGGCACTGCACCATGCAAGAACGGGGCAGGGCTAGTGAGTATCACATGGACGCTAGGCTAGTCCCATTTATGTTGCGCGCATGTAAAATGCTTCCCCCTCCCTTTCCCTCCGATTCGCCAATCGAGAAAGGTTGGTAAACTCTGGACTAGAAAACCTCCAAGGTCCCTTCCAACTTTGCTGTTCTGTTGTTCTGTTCTGTTTACATGCTCACAGAATGCATAAGGCACATGGTCTTTTGGTAAAGCAATTTATTTTGCTTTGAGGTAGTTTTCCCTTCTTCAGAGAAATCTTCCTCTGCTCCAAGTCCAATCAATGAAAAAGTGCTTCTTGATGGGATCTTAGAAGGTACCTTCTCTGTCATGGCACCAGTCTTCTTGAATAACCTCCCATTAGTAATATGGATGACTCCAATCCTGATGGCTGTGAAGACCTAGTTATTCCCCTGGGCACTGGGGTCAGGATGTGAAGGGGGCCCTGATGTGGCCAAAGACGTATCTGTCTTTGGACAGATTTCTGAGTTCATTTGATTTGCCAGTTTTTATGCTAGGGGGTTGTGTTTTGTTTTTATCTATGTATAGGTAATCCTCGACTTATCACAATTGAGCCCAAAATTTCTGCTATAAGCAAGACAGCTATTAAGTGGGTTTTGCCCCATTTTATGACCTCTCTTGCCACAGTTGTGAAACAAATCATTGCAATTGTTTAGTTAGTGACATGGGTATTAAGAAAATCTGGCTTCTCCGTTGACTTTGCTTGTCAAAGGAACGCAAAAGGTGATCACATGACCCTAGGACCTTGCAACCATCATAAATACATGCCAGTTGTCAGACATGACTGTGGGGATGCTACAACGGTCGTAAGTGTGAAAAAGGGTCATTAAGTCACTTTTTTTAGGGTCATTGTAACTTCGAACAGTCACTAAATGAATGGTTGTAAGTCAAGGAGTAGCTATATTACCCTGAGTACATCTGGCAAGCCATATAAACGTACTAAATAAATACCGGTAAATAAACTACTAGAAGATTGTCTTGGCCTTTCATTGTTTTCAGCTCGTATAAAATGGAGGTTCTTATGTAGAAATGAATGACTGATTTGAAAGTATATTGAATCTCTGAGAACGTGAAAGTCAAACTGATGTTGCAGAGCTAAAAGGGGGAAAAAAAGAGGCAGTTCTGGAGAGATCACTCACAGGTGAGAATTCAGCGTCTGATCTAAATTGATACTTTTATGTGATTTAGTTATATGTGAAAGATTAAAATTGTCCTGAGACTTTCTTTTGCAGGATTGTAGCAAATTAATTAAGATGGAGGAGCTTGTGCTAGTATTTCAAAGCCACTTTTACAGATTTACTGGACAACCTGTGACCTCTTAAGTCACTCTTTTCAGAGGTATTTCCATACCAGGCTCATCAATGTCTTTAGTAATGACAGAGCTTCTAATATCCTGCCTTCAGTGGAAAAGTTGAGATACATTCAGAGATGTATCTGTCTTGGAAGTAGCCCATGTTCAACTGTATGTACAGTCAATTAAAGGAAATGTTTTATGACATTTTGTATTATGTCATACATTGTTTTATGATAATTTTGTGTCATAAAATGTTTTATAAATTTGCCAAATTTCAATTCCGCAGGAGTCATGGGTCCTAGACTTGGATGCATTCTGTAAATTAGTCCATTTGAAGTACCTTGGTTCAAAACATTTTGTACTATGGTACACTGTTTCACCCAGTTAAAGGTTACAGGAATCAGTTTTAGTGTTTACAGATGATTATTTTATACATCTGTTCAGGAAAGCCATCAATCTTGCCCAGACTAATTTCCTTTCAGCATCTTTATAGTTTGGCATCATGGGAGTTGTAGTTTAACACATCTGAAAGAGGCTTGGTGGGGGAAGGCAGGGCGATGTCATCTTTATAATTCATAATTAATAAGCCAAATGCGAGAAATTCTCCTGGATTCATATGTTGATGTGGTTTTGCACATTGTTCTTTAGCTGGCAGATATTCAAATGTTCTCCTAAATAGTATCATAAAGCACTTGTTAATATCTTCCCACAGCAGTAGTTTCCCATGAAACAAGGACAAATATATTGGAATTTAAGATCATCACAAGTTCCTGAATAGCATTGTGTATTTCTAGCTTTGTATATCTGTATGCCTTTGAATCAGTGTTGATTCCTGGCGACTGCCTGAATAGGTCCTTGTAGTTTTCTTGGTGATGTTTTGGGAAATGGTTTGCCATTGCCTCTTTCTTAAGGCTGAGAGAGAATGACTGGTCCAAGGTCACCCAGCTGGCTTTGTGCTTAAGGCAGGACTAGATGTCAGAGTCTCCTGGTTTCTAAACTGGCGTTGGAACTGATATTGAGAGTAATAACCACAGGATTAATGTGTGGTCAAATGAGTTGAGGGGATCTTTCATGTCCAAAAGATTTTGCATAAATAATTATAATTTGTGGGTTTCTTACATGTTTTCTTTTGCTTTAGGTAAATGAAATTTACCATGATGAATCCCTGGGAGTCCACATAAATGTTATCCTTGTTAGAATGATCTTGGTGGGATACAGACAGGTAAAATACACACAATGTCACTCTTGCTCACCTTTTTAATTTAAATGTTTGCTTATGATTTAGAGAGAAGTAAAGGTTTTTAAAGAAGTTTATAGTGTTCTCCCGCTTTCTTCCTCTGCTAATAACTGTTTTTAAAGTGATGTAATACAAACATTTCTGCTGCCATAAATAAATGGTACTTGACCATCATCCTCTTAGTGAAAAGATGCCCAAAAATAAGAAAAAAGGGGAGAGTCAAAGAACTCATACAAAGGACTCAGCCTTAATGGGGTGCATGTCATCATAGGATACTTGAGATGGAATTAGTTTTCCAAATGCTGCCCAGAGTTTTGTTTCATTTTTTAAAGGACGTTTTTGCTTGAATGCAGAATGCATATTGGGAAAAGACTGAGCAAACAAAAGACTCTTAATATAGATGAAAGATCAAATATCTGTTCTTGGCCACTAAAGGACTTGATGGTAGCCAAAAGCTTCTGTTTCATCTGATATATACACCAGCTTTAGTGTTTTTTAATTTATTTATTAGATTTATTACCATCTTCAATTCCCAATATTCTTGGTGGTTATAAAACATAGGAAATATCTGTGATATAAAATGAAAAAAAAACATATTTCTAGGAGCATAAAATCCAAAGGCTGTGATTTATTCATCCCTTCTAGACGGGATGTTTGCAGGGAGATGGTTAAATAAATCAAGCTGGGCCACAATCATGCAATCCACCATTTGATTGCCATTTGTGGCTGCCATTTTGATTTTTGTTGAAAAACCCCCCCCCACACACACTGTGGATACTCTAAGCTTTGTGCATAACCACAGGCCTTCTGCTACAGCTCTATTTTCAGATGTTTCCAAAAAGCCAAAACCTGGCCTGGCTTCATTTTAAGTTGGAAGCTATTCTTAAATATAGGTGATGTGACAGGAAAGTGGAAATGGGGGACATCCAGTATCTGAGGGGCTGTCACAATGAAGAGGGGGTCAGGTTGGTTACCAGAGCACCAAAGGGAAGGATGAGAAACAATGACTGAAAACTGATCAAAGAGAGAAGCAACCTGGAATTAAGGAGAAACTTCCTGACAGTGAGGACAATCAACCAGTGGAACAGCTTACCTCCATCACTGGGAGTTTTAAAAAAGAGACTGTCTGAGATGGTATAGGTCCTCCTGCTTGAGCAGGGGGCTAGACCAGAAGACCTCCAAAGTCTCTTCCAGATTCTATTCTATTCTATTCTATTCTATTCTATTCTATTCTATTCTATTCTATTCTATTCTATTCTATTCTATTCTATTCTATGTTGTGTTCTGTTCTTTCTGTTCTAGGACAAATTAGGTGTGTTGATTTTGTTTGGAGAAGACAGTCCTGGAGATGCTTCAGGGTTAAGCCATGCAGAGATGCTGATTTCACCTTGTCTTCTTTTCCCCCTTTCAGTCCATCACTTTAATAGAGCGAGGGAACCCTTCTCGAAGCTTGGAGCAGGTGTGTCGCTGGGCTCATTCCCAACAGCGTTCAGATCCTGCACATGCTGAATATCACGATCATGCTGTATTCCTCACCAGGCAAGATTTTGGTCCTGCAGGTATGCAAGGTACTGTATTTACCTCAATCAGATATGTGCAGTTTGGTGGACGCCACCGAAAGGGCCCTTTTATTGACCAAGGCCTTTGTAGTAGTGAGTACATAAAAGTTTTAAACCCAAAGTTGTGACTACTTGCATTCATTCATGTTGCTTTCTGAACAACAACATGGAACTGGCTCACTATTGCCCTCTTTAAGGACTTTTCAAAATTTTATGTTCCGGTCTGACCCACAACTCTGCTATTTCCTGGTGATTTCCCATTCAAATTCTAAAAGGTTTGCAAAAGACAGTTACATTTGTTAAAACAACAGTGATTTTGCCTTCTTACGTTGTTTATACAATTGTGGATTCTTAAGCAAAAAAGAGGGAAATTACCTGTTTATACTTGCACCACTTGTGATCAAAAAGAACCTACCAATCCTGTGCTGTTGCTTCTGTATACTTATTTATTTATTTATTCAATTATTTATTTATTTAAGATAATTTATATAACTGCTATCAACATCAAGAATCCAAATAAAACATCAGGTTCATTCTGTCTCCGAAAATTTTACTGTTTATTGAATACACTGCATGGTTATGTCGAAGCAAAACTTTATTCTGAGGTTCCAACATTAATTCATCGACTTAAACAATAATTTTCCCAGCCAAACCCCCCAATATCTTATGTAGTCCATATAAACAAGTTCGCTTTGTTATGGGAATCGTCTGCTTCAAATCCATACCTATTCTTGTGTCCTTGAAAAGGCTTCAGGCTCTCACGGTCTTTAGCCGAATCGTATAAGTTTAGTTTCTCTATCTAACCCACTTGAAAATAACATTTCTCCTCCTTAATCTAAAGGCAAGTTGAACCTCAGAGGCACTTAGCTGCCAAAGTTTCATTCTTGACAGCCACCTATTTATAGTGATTATAATATAATAATACAATCACTCCCCCCTGGTAACAACACACATTCATTTCTTCCTAACTCCTTTAGAACTACTCTGATTTTCCAGATGGATAGTTAAAAACCAAGTTTTATAGAATCATAGAATTACAAAGTTTGAAGGGGATAGAAGAAACATCTAGTGCAACCGTCTGCAGTGTGCAAGAGATTTATAGAAAGTTGTTATTTGAGTCAGTGTGGTTTGATTAATCATAGATTATGCCAGACTAAGTTCAATAATTCCAAATAAAAAGCTAAAGTTGCCTTCCTAACAGATTATAATAATGCATAAGAGCAGGGGAGAAAAATCCAATGCAAGCAAACTTGAGTTCCATTCACTGACTTCCTAATGCATGTAGTAGTATCACCAAGTGCTTATATCTCCATTATTTGGACTGAAGCATTTGCACTTTTCAGATTCCTATTTTAGCTGATTCTTTTCTACAGACCAATCAAGAAAAAAGCTCCTTTTTAAAGCCAATGGGACCTTTGTTCTAGTTATCTACATTTAAATTGTTCTAAGATAGTGGGAGGGAATAGAAAGTTCTACCTTGTCTCTCTTTTTTTCCTTGAGGAAGAAGAAGATGCTTCTTCCAGTTGTCAGTCACAACTGGTGAAGCTGCTTCTTCTTCTTCTTCTTCTTCTAAAAAAAAAACAGTCCAGTTGCCTTTGAAAAAACACCTTTGAGACAACTATGACCTGGATCTCCACAGACAAGATTCTACCTTCTTTTTCTGCGTTTGCAATTGTATGTTTAATGGTTTCATTTGGAAAAAAGTTGTTTGACAGAGCAAAGGGAAGGAAACCTGACCTAAAAAAAGATGCATTCAGGCTTGGGTAATGTTTTTGAAGGTGAGGCATTTGAAAAGAATCTGAGGCATTTGTTTTGTTGTTGTCTTTTCAGTTCCCCGAAAACAAGAAATTCTTTGCACATTAAATTTCTCTTTCTTCTTCCCAAAGCACGTTAGATTAAGCACTTTAATGGGCATTGCATATAACACATTACCAATTCATTGCCCATTAAAAAGAAGAGGCGCTTCTATTTATGGTCACGTCTTCACTCTTTGGATTTCCCCAGTGGATTTCATTAAAAGAAACTGTCACTGGATAAATTGTGCTTTCCATAAGGTGGTTAAAAGATCTAGGACAGGCTTTTCAACCTTTTCACCCATTGTATCACTTTTAGGATATGGCAATATCCGAGTAACACCAGTTGCCTAGCAAGGTGTCAAAAACTTGATGACCCCCCCCCCAAAAAGTAAAAAGGTGATAAAGTACAGGTAGTCCTCGACTTACAATAGTTCGCTTAATGACTGTTTGAAGTTACAATGGCACTGAAAAAAGTGCCCCCCCAAGTCACAGTCGAGCAAGACACCTGCCTGCCCGGCCAGCGGCACTCTTCCTCCTGTCCAAGGTTTTCATTGTTGTGAGCATTTCTGTTGAGGATTGGCAGCGGGGGTGGGATGGGGGGTGATCGGTTTTTATTCTCCCCATCTGCTGGGTGGTTGCAGCAGGTTTTGGTCACTTCACATGACTCTGGGACACTGTGACCGTCATAAATATGAATCAGTTGCCAAGCATCTGAATGTAAATCACAAGACCCTGGAGATGCTGCAACATTCCAGCTGATCGGCACTTCTTCTGGGCTCAGCAAAGTGCCAGGATCAGCGTCGAGCTCCAGCTCCCTGACAGCCCTGAAGACGCGCCGATCAGCTGGAAAGCGGCACTAATCCTGGTGCTTCTGCTGAGCCCTGACAGCCCTGCAGCTGCAGCCATCTCTCTCTCAGGCTTGTGCGGTGCTGCCACCGGTTCAGCTCATTCCCCTCCCCCGCTACTCCTTTTCTAGGATGGTCGCGTACCACCTGCCAGGTGCCAATGTACCACAGGTGGTACCCGTACCACTGGTTGAAAAGCCCTAGTCTAGGACAACTCAGCGTGGCCAACTGGGGGTAGCCACCTCACCACCATCAAGTCACTTCTGACAACTCAGTCTCCAGGTCATTGCAGGATAACCCAACATGGGCAATTTGCTGCAGGCACCTGGATGGAGAGCTGGGGAGCAAGTGGGTGGGTGAGCTCTGTAGCCTTTCCCAGTGGCCATATGGTTTGGGAATTCTGGGAGTAACAATTCCAATATGATTGGAGTTGCTGGTTTGGAAAAAGGTATTCTAAAATGCATAGTGATGCTTTTTAAAGGTTAGGGTTAGGTTGATCAGTATCTTCTTATGTCAGCCTATCACATGGCTACTAGAAGGGAGTGGGGTTTGCTCTCTGTTCAAACAGTAAATAACAGCTGAATGAAGGAACTACCAAAAAGAAAACAATGCTTCCACCAGCACTGACAGAGCAAGTCAGTGAACATAGTGCAAAGTCCAGCCCCTTCTAGCACTGATGATGTTACCTAGTTGGGTAATGAAATGTCTGCAAGAAAACAACCAAGCTCAGAGAGCACCAAGGACTCCTCACAGTTCAACTCTGAGCTTCAAATGTTCTCTTCTGTTAGGATGAACTATCCCAGCTAGAAGACTGAACAGAAGGTATTTTGCTCATCGAATCACATTTCTGGACCCATATTGAATGTATTTTAGTTTGTGAGTTCAGCTTGGCGATTTGGGTGGGGGAATAAAGATAGAGTTTGGTTTTCTGGGAAAGGCGATACATCATCTCGCATCTTAGCTAATTTCTCAAGATTGTGAACACCAACCTTTGGTTGCATCTAAGGAAAATTCCATTGAATTCTGGTCATATTGTTCTCATTACATATGAATTATCCTTCCAGTAAATAAATGGCAATACTGGGATTATTTTTGGAAATATGTTATATTTTCTCATTTTGTTACCTTTACCTGGTACAGTTCTACCCAACCGCTTAGCTTATTAATACATTTCAGCACAATCATATTTGTTCTAATAAGAGTAGTTCCTTTTCACTGTGTTATTCTATGGGATGTCTGTGCAATAAGCTCTTTTTGTGACGAATTTCAAAGAGCAAAGGGGTCAGAGCTATTTGCAAATATTGTCAAAAAATGCAGCAACTTTGCAATATTTGGATTCAGCAGGACATTCATTGATAATGTTATCTGACTTTTCAACTCCATTTGCAAAAAGATGGAGATCTCTGTTATGTGGAATGTAATGCTTGGGATAGTGTATGATACTATATGATACAGTATTTTATTGTATGGAGAGGAAAGATATATTTCTTTACCATCTCCTTTCAATTAATTTTGTTAAACTCCAGCCAGCCTTCCACTGCTTGCTATCACTTAGTGCAGACATGTGAAATTCGCGACGTCACATAACGTGCAACGTATCGGAACTTTTTCTCCATTGCCAGCAATGGGGTGGGCACGATTTCCTCGTGACGCGTCTGGCCCATGGGCCGGCAGTTTGACACCCCTGACTTAGTGTATTGAATCTGATGGTTCAGAATTGTGGAAATGCAGACTTTTCACGGTACAGATTGTTCATGTACATTGACTATGTAGAGATTTTCCTAACTGCCTTGAGAGAGGAACAGATCACAAAATAAATGGTAGTCGTATTTTAAAATATTGCCTGAATGGTGAAGGTTATTAACATTACATCATGGAAAAAATGAGGACTGTAACATGTAACACATATGCAGTTTCGTTCTTGGAAATGAAAAGCAGGCTGATTTAAGAAGAAATTCAGCCTTCTCTACCCTGTTGGCAATTCACCATAATCCTACACCAAATAAGATATTCGGCAAAGTCCTTTGGCACATGCATCTTAATGGCAGTTTTTTTGGTACCTTATACTAATAGTTCTGCCAGTATTTTCCACATATGCTATTTTCTAGATTTTTCTGCCTCTACAAACAGTTTCAAGATTCAGGTCAGAATAATGTAATATCTAAAAATTACAATAAAGGGAATGACCAAAACCATAGGTTGTGTCTAATTTTTTGAATTATAGACATTGTTTTTAATATTGCTGTGTTACAGAACAGGGATTCCTAAGTTTTGCTTTAGACTGGTGGAGTCTAGTTTTTTGTTTTTGTTTTTAAAAAAGCTCCAAGTTCTACTTCCTACTTCCAATCATAAGTAACAGATGGTAGATCAACCAATTATCAGATGTGATTTGGAAAATTCCATGAAAATGTTATATGGTATTGCAATTCTTTGATTTTTTTTCTAAAAAGTGACTCAATCACAGTTGGAATACAACACTACCCATTGATTGCATTTGAATATGATGCAGTACATACAAGTACTCATTGACTTACAACCACAATTGACCCTCATATTTCTGTTACTAAATGAGACAGTTGTTAAGTGAGTTTTACCCCATTTTACAACCTTTCTTGCCACAGTTGTTATGTGAATCACTGTTAGTTAAAAGTTAGTAACACAATTGTTAAGTGAATCTGGCTTCCCTGTTGTCAGAAGGTCACAAAAGGGGATCACATGACCCTAAGAACCGCAACTGTCATAAGCACGAGTCAGTTGCCAAATGTCTGAATTTTGATGTGACATGACCTTGTGGATGCTACAGTGATCGTAAGTGTAAAGAAGAGTCATAAGTCACTTTTTTCAGTGCCATTGTAACTTTAAACGGCCACTAGATGGTTGTAAGTTGAGGACTGCCTGTAATGGCCTGTTATGACCTCCTCTAATGAGCTGTTGGGGTTGCAACATTGTATATGAAGATTTCTTGCATAATTAATAGAACAGATTCAAGTCAAGTCTTGCCTCTAGTGCTACAAATTATACTGGCCTCTTAAGTCCAACTCTCCTACCAAATGTGCTGCAACATCTGTTCTGACAGTTCTCAAGCCAACATAATCAACATATTTGGAATCACCAAACTGGGAAAAGCTATTTTGCGATGTTAAAACATCTCAAGAAGAAAAACGTCAGGAGTGGGATAAGTAACATAGAAACATTGGCACAGAGTATTTATTTCTTTTTCTGCCTGTGTGAAAATGTGAAGAGACAGATTAAACAGAATTCAAAAGTCATTTGTATGTACACTATCATTTCTCCTTGCCAATAGGCCTAGTTTTTTCCTACAGCTTGTGACTCATCAACCTGAATGTAGCTCACAGCCATACATGGTGGTCCATAAAAGAGCCAGTGAACTTTTTGCTTTTTGCTTTCTGCCTGGGGCTCCAGAATCCAAACTGGCAACAAGCACTTGGAAGGTGAAAATACTTAATTTGTAGTCTTTATTTAGCTAGGTATAACTTGGGGGCAGGAGGGGGTTGATATTTTTCTTGCTATTAGATCAAATTTTGGGGGAAGGGAATGATACACTATAAGCGTGTCCTTAAATTTAAGCCATTTATCATTTGATTAATGGTTCAAAGCATAGTTGCTTTCATGAAACATATGGAACAATTTCATGGTTTCCTTTTATAAGGCTAAGTAGTTCTGAGACATTTGTCTCTCCCAGAGGAGAAGTGCCTGTGAAATACGATTGAAAGAGTTCCAGCATGAGGTTCCTTTTTTCTCATATTTTCTTTTTCAGTTTTTCTCTCTCCCTCCTTTTTTGACTCTCTGCTTCATTCTTGTTCTTTGTTTTATCCCTTCATCTTATTTCAGGTTATGCTCCCGTCACTGGCATGTGCCACCCTCTGCGTAGCTGCACTCTGAACCATGAGGATGGGTTTTCTTCAGCCTTTGTAGTTGCTCATGAGACAGGACACGTGTAAGTTACTGGAAAAGGTTATTCTTCAGTTGTCCAGTATCTTTTTTGTGGTTGCTTCTTTGAGGGAGCTGTGATAGAACATGGGATGTCCTGGATGCCCTTTGCTCCAGCTGGTCTTAAAACTTTCCATATTAATGAGAACTTTAATACCAGGACCTTGTTCAAAAACCTTGGTGTCAACTCCTGGCTGTCAACCATCACACACTTAAACTTTCCTTATTGTGCAAAGCTGTGGTAAAACTATTAAGCGTGCAGCCTTAGGTATACTTAGAAAACCTTAGCATACTTGACCTGTGCCCATACAATTTCTCCCAGGGCTCTGAAATCAAGTAAGGGAAATTGTATATTGCTGATCTCATGGGACCTGCACAGCCTTTTTAATACATTGACTGTGATGGGTTGAAAACTCAGCCGTGGAACTTTGATTATGGAGTGGGTGAACATTTTTCATTCAGTCAGAAATCTTTCAGTAGGTGTATTAAGTAGTCCTCAACTTATAACCATTTGTTTAGTGACTGCTCAAAGTTACAACAGCACTGAAAAAAATGACATGATTGTTTTTCACACGACTGTTGCAGCATCCCAATGGTCACATGATCAAAATTCAGATGCTTGGTGACTGGCTCTTATTTATGAGGGTTGTGGTGTCCCGGGGTCATGTGATCATCTTTGGTGACCTTCTGTGAAGCAAAGTCAATGGGGAAGCCAGATTCACTTAACAACTGTGTTACTAACTTAACTGCAGTGATTCAAATAACACTGTGGCAAAAAAGGTTATAAAATGGGGCAAAACTCTCTTAACAAATGATACCAAGTCACTTGCTCTCATATTATTGATTGACCACGTTTTTGGAGAGGTAGGCCCATTTCATTTCTTTTAATGAGTAAAGCAGATCTGTTTATATTAATAGCAAAAACAATTGTACGTACTTCAGACCATACGGTAATAAACGTACTAGGGTACTCAATGGTATTCAAAATGCTGATACAGTTTCATGATTTAGTGCTTCATGGATCTTGGGAAATACTGTGCAACTTAAAGGTTTATTTTTAACAGGTTAGGTATGGAACACGATGGCCAAGGTAACCAATGTGCTGATGAGACTGGCATGGGCAGTATTATGGCACCACTAGTGCAGGCTGCATTTCACCGTTATCACTGGTCCCGATGTAGCAAACAGGAGTTGAACCGTTATATACAGTAAGTTTACCAATAAAGGAGAATATTTGTAGTTCAGGGTTGAAATGAGGGGTCCTTGGTGCTCTCTGAATTCATTTTCTTGCAGTTTTTTAATTACCCAAACTAGGTAACATGTTACTGGGGAACCTATTTTGGGTAATGAAATATCTGCAAGAAAACAACTAAGATCAAAGAGAACCAAGGACTCCTTATACAGTAAGCTTAACTTCATTGCTTTGAAATTGTTCTGTTTCATTTTGTATCGGATAAATTAATGGTAAGAAAGAATACAGTTGAAGCAAAAAGACTTTATAATTTACAGAACAATTCGGATGCTACAAAATGCCAAATAGCTTGAATATTGGGATTGGAGAAAAATACTCTTTATTCCAAAGTTTGCTTTTGTGTTGTTGACTAATTAGGAAGCCGTTTATAAATAAGCATCTTAACTTTGCTTAAAGTTGTGATGTACAGTAGTTTGCAATTCAGATAATGTATACGTAGTTAAGAATATTGGGGAAAAGTGCTCAAAGAAATATGGATAGGACATGGACAAAACTCATGTGTATGGAGTTTATTTCAGACGAGAGGAAATTATATACAATCTAATGTAGAAAGAGGATGAAATAAATTTCTGATCAGGAAAAAATGGAAACTTATAGAGCGCCAGGATTTTTGGAGCCGCTGAATGAATCTGCAAGGAACATTTAATCTCTAATACACAATCTCTGTTTTTTGTGCTGCAGTTCTTACGACTGTCTCTTAGATGATCCTTTTATGCAGAACTGGCCCAGACTCCCAGAATTGCCAGGAATTGATTACACTATGGACGAGCAATGCCGCTTTGACTTTGGTGTGGGATACAAAACATGCACAGCTGTGAGTATGGAAACGTTGTTGGTGTGTGGGGAAACCATTTCTTCTTCCTTCTGTTAATTCCTAGGGTTTCTTTTCTTAATGAATCACATGTTGGCTTCAACCCACTGGTGGCTTTGCTTTAGATTTGTCCAGTTGCCATGTCCTGCAGCTGCCGATGACCTTATTCCATTCAGTTCCACAGAATCCCTTCAGCCTCTAAAGTAGCTTTTCATGACAGTGTGATGAGAAACTTATGTAGAGAATATAGAATAGAGAATAATAAGAGTTGGAAGGGACCTTGGAGATCTTCTAGTCCAACCACACACACATGCACCCCGCTCAGACATGAGACCCTGTACTATTTCAGACAAGTAGCTGTCCAGTCTGTTCTTAAAAGCCTCCAGTGATGAAATAACCACAATTTCTGAAGGCAAGCTGTTCCACTGGTTAATTGTCCTCACTGTCAGGAAATTTGTCCTTAGTTCCAGGTTGCTTCTCTCCTTGATTAGTTTCCATCCATTGTTTCTTGTCTTCTGATGCTTTGAAAAATAGGTTGAGCCCCGTCTTCTTTGTGGCGGACCCTCAAATATATGTAGGTAAACTAAATCAATGGCAATCTGTTTTATGGGAGTGAACGGATATTTTCTATCCATAAAGCTGCAAGTTAAAATAACAAATAATGTTTTTGAGGGTACGTGCGATTGGTCTCATAAGAATCTGCACCAAAGAAAAGGCGCACCAAAATGACAACATGTGTGCAATGACATCCACATGCAAATTCTGTCTGCCAGGTCCATAAAATTGTGTTTCTTTTTAAATGATTATAATTTCATGATATATTTAGCTACTCTCCCATTCTATCCCCCTGCAGAGGCTGGCTATATTGGGAAATAATAGTAAAAATATCCTTAAAGAAGGCCATGAAACACCATATAGGGGAGTATCATTGAAGTCACCAGGGAGTTGATCTCAAATTGGACGAATCATGAGCTTTTGAGACAAAGAAATAAGATCTTGCTTTGAACGAGGCAAATGTGGTTGGAAAAAAAAACTATGGTGCTCTCTTTATCTTGAATGTATGTCAAACCTGTTGGATCAGGAGTTGTGCAAATAGCAGACAACAGATAACTTTAATCCAGAGGTCCTCAAGCTTGGCCACTTTAAGACTTGTGGACTTCAACTCCCAGAATTCCCCAGCCAGAGTGGCTGGGGAATTCTGGGAGTTGAAATCCACAAGTCTTAAAGTGGCCAAGTTTGAGGACCCCTGCTTTAATCAATCTGTAATTTATGAGATTATTATTTGGTGGTTGCACACCACTTCTTTTTTTAAAAAAACTGTATCTATAATGTAGAGCTGCAACTGCATTAAATTAAAAGATAAAATATTGTTCAAAGCAGAGTACATTTGGCTTAAATGGAGAAAGAGCAATAAGCTTTATGTGGCCCTTCTCCTTTACAGTTCAGAACTTTTGACCCTTGCAAACAGCTGTGGTGCAGCCATCCGGACAACCCTTATTTCTGTAAAACGAAGAAAGGGCCACCTTTGGATGGAACGGAGTGTGCTTCGGGTCAGGTATGTCTGCTGTTGAGTGAGATTTGTCCGAAATGGTATAGGGCAGTGGTGATGAACCTATGGCACGCGTGCCAGAGGCAGCACTTGGAGCTCTCTCTGTGGGCATTCATGCCATTGCCCCAGCCTTGCCTCCTCCCGTGACCCGCTCCTCACCAGCAGCCCCCCTGGAGAAGAGTCACCCCCGAGCGTGGCCTACGCAAAGCAGTGCAGCCAAGGACATGGCAGCCAGACAGTGTAAACAAGACTCTGCCCTCATGCCCCATCACGCAGTTGATGCTGCGGGGCGCGGGTAGAAGGCGTGGCCGCTATGGCACTGCTGGGCGATCTGTGGCGGGCCCTCGAGGCGGTGAGTGGCCCTGCGGGCAGGCGGGGTGGGGGCAGAGCAGGGGCGGGGCAGGGGGTGGAGCAAGGGCAGGGGCAGTTTTTGGGCACTCGGTCTCTAAAAAGTTTGCCATCACTGGTATAGGGTGTCCTGCCTGAGCAGGGGGTTGGACTTGATGACTTCCAAGGTCCCTTCCAACTTTATTATTATTACTATTACTATTACTATTACTATTACTACTACTACTACTACTACTACTACTACTACTACTACTACTATTATTATTATTATTATTATTATTATTATTATTATTATTATTATTTCAGTCTCATTTTAGCAGGAGGCCAAACAGTTTTACATCCGTATATGGACAGACAGACATACTGTATGTCTTATGGGCCAAAATGGACAATGTTGTACATTTTTTATCCTTTACTTTATATGCATATTCTTTCTTTTCAAATTGACAATACAAAGTAGTCCTCATTTAGCGACAGTTGGGACTGACATCCCAATTGCTAAGTGTCGCATCAAAAGGACGAAAAAGAGAAGGGAAGGAAATAAATTGATTGAATAATTAAATAGCAATGTTTATTACTGCTTTTGATGAATTGATTAATAATTAATTGTTTTCACTTGTAACCGATTAAGTTGATTATCTGTTAAATTTGTTTGCTTACTGTGATTCATATACCCGTATCTCAATGCCCAGGTTTAAAGTGACTTCTAGAATGCATGAGCAACCTCCCCTCCCATTTACATGCAAAAAAATTGGGGAGTGGGGAGAGATGCTGGAGCTGCAGCTAAAGGCACGGGATCCCCAGAATTTACTCCTGTAATCAAAAGAATAACTTCCTCATTTTTCTTACAGTCTTTCCCATGCTTGGTATTTCTCACAGATAACTTTAGCAATTCCTATTCTGTACAATTTGAGTGGCTGTAAAAAATTAGGCCTGAATTTAATTTTTGAATGCCTGAGACAGTTGGGTGGGCTATGCATAACAATAGCAATACCAATAGCCCTTAGATTTATATACCGCTTCATAGTGCTTTACAGCCCTCTCAAAGTAGTTTACAGAGTCAGCATATTTGCTCCCCAAAATCTGGATCCTCATTTTACTGACCTTGAAGGATAGAAGGCTGAATCAACCTTGAGCTGGTCAGGATCGAACTCCTGCTTTGGCTACAGTTAGTCTGCAATATTGCATTCTAACCACTGTGCCATCATGGCTCATAAATAAATAATGATTGAAATCTCACGTTAAACCACTTTGTACATTTTCCTGGTAGTTGTTATTTTGCACTGATGGTTTTTCTTTGATATTTCCTGCAGCACTAAAATGCTTCAGATCACACCCCCTGATTAATAGTGAAAAGATAGTTGTTTCTTTTTAACCTGTGACTGTTTGCTGTTCATACTTTGTGTTTGCTACCTTCATGGAAGATACAAGTGTAGGTTTAATGCAGGGGTCTCTAAACTTGGTAGCTTTAAGACTTGTGGACTTCAACTCTCAGAATTCCCCATGGCTGGCTAATTCTGGGAGTTGAAGTCCACAAGTTTTAAAGTTGCCAAGTTTGAAGTCTCCTAGTTTAATGCCTTCCCATGATATCCATTTGGTTTCCCCACTGGAAAATATAGATGTATTTGGGGGGGGGGGGAAACATAAGGTAAGGCATGTTATTGGATTGTGCCAAGATTCAACGTTGGTGCTCTAGAAGTGATAAGGTTTTTTTCGTGACTATCCTATGCCACCCAGGCCCCCCTGAGACCTTTCTTTATTGCTCCACAGTCATCCCTGTCTGCCTGACCAATGAAAGTGGGAGGAACAGATTCCGAACCCTATTGTAAAGCTGGGTGCTTCTGTGGCGGTAGAACTGCTCTCCTCACTAACACTGGACAGATATGAAGAGGCAGGTGTTCAGGTAACCCTTATTTCTTCTCCTGTTCCAGTGGTGTTTCAAGGGTCACTGCATCTGGAAGACTTCAGAACAACCTTACAGCCAGGATGGCGGCTGGAGTTCCTGGTCCAAATTTGGTTCCTGCTCCAGGACTTGTGGGGGTGGGGTGCGTTCCCGCAGCAGGAACTGCAACAGACCACCGTAAGTCTGGTTTTCCGTGGGATAAAGGTATCAAGAGCACCTACCTTATTTAGCAGAGCAACTCTATAGTTCCCTGAACTTTTGTGAGTGTGGATGTGCCTTTGAGTCAGTGTTGACTGCTGACAACTGCAAGTTAACATTGCCTATTTCCTAGGGCTCAGAGAAAGTGACTGGTCTAAGGTCACCCAGATGTCTAAGGTGGGACTAGAACTTATGGTCTCTGAGTTTCTAACCTGGTACCTTAACTACTGCACCAAACTGAGTCTCTCCCCAGTATAGCTGACAGTAAAGAGAAGATTTTATGCAAAAAATCACAGCGCAATTAATAATTGCCAAAATATGAGAATGCTCTCTCTTCCCCTTATAGCCTTTGGGTATATGACTGCCTACAACATCAATTTTAACAAAATTAGGTCTGTAAATATTGTGTATTTTTAAAGGGTGCACTTAAATAAACTACGATGTACAGCTAATATTAAACTAGAGTTAGACAGTGGTTGCTTAGCTAGAAGCCAGTCTTAATTATCAGCAAAGATCTTTCTCAAGGTTAATTCCTTCATTCTGTCACATTCCTTTTGGGCATCATATTACAGTGGTTCTGCTCCTACCTTTAGAGCAATGTTCAAAGAACAACAGATTTTTATTAGTTACCGTAGTTCCACAGTAGGAAGTGCTATTCTGTCCTCAATGATAAGTGTATCCATCAGGAAATTTAGAGTAAATGTTCACTAATATGCTAATTTCTGATTATGATAAATCAATTCTATTTATCCTCTTTAGTCAGAAGAGGCTTGATTCAAAAACAAATATTAGAACACATGATCAGATGAGGCTAAGCCTGAATATCATTGTAACCTGTATCTTCTTAGAGCAGGGGTCCCCAACCCCCATTCCATGGACCAGTACCGCGGCATGCCAGCAACCGGTCCGCACAAACAAGCAAATCCCCATCCGTGGGATGTAGGCAGCACAGAAAACCACACACTCTCTGGTCCGCAGAAAAACTTCTCTCCACGGAACCAGTCCCTGGTACCCCAAAGGTTGGGGACCTGTGTCTTAGAACTTATTGTTAATAGTAAATACACTTTACTTGCAGAAGTTTGCATTATATGCATTGTATGCCTGCTTTGAGATTTTTTTTTAAAAAAAAAACAATGTAAAATATATTTTTTATTCATTTATATAAACCAGTGTTTCTCAACCTTGACAATTTTAAGGCATGTGGACTTCAACTGCTGGCTGTGGAATTCTGGGAGTTGAAGTCCACATGCCTTAAAATTGTCAAGGTTGAGAAACACTGATATAAACCAACAAGAGAAAAGATTAAAATGAATGAAACCGAATGCCCTTCCTGCTTGCCTTGGGCTGCAGAATTTGAGTGCTCTAGTCCTTATTTGGCTCTTTGTTTGTTTTCCAGCCCAGCTTATGGTGGACGTCAGTGTCCAGGTGCTACGTATGAATATCAGGTCTGCAACGCTGAAGACTGCCAAGGTCCCTATGAGGATTTTCATGCTCAGCAGTGTTCCAAGCGGAACTCTTATTACATCCATGAAAGCTCTAAGCACACCTGGCTTCCTTATGAGCACCCTGATGGTAATAATAATAATAATAATAATAAGGTGACCAACTTTTTTATAGTGAAAAAGAGGACACAAATAAATTGAAGAAAAAAAATATTGTAAATAAAAGAAACATTTTATTCATTGCAACAATAATATAGACAACTTGCATGTACAAAGTTTGCTGGCCGGGTGTTTTGGCGTGCTCAGCAGCAATTCTTACTGGCTTTTGAAAGCCAATAGTGGGAGTAGCACAGCTCATGCAAAAGTTGAAAAAAAAAAACCATCAAAAAAAGGTGCCGAAACACCGTTCTATGAGGGAAAAAAAAAGCCCTGCAGATTAGTCTTCAAATATCGAAAAGGAGGACATGAAGGAGGACACTTTTTGAGGAAGGACAGAACTTACAAAAGGAGGACTGTCCTCCCTAAAGGAGGATGGTTGGTCACCTTAATAATAATAACAACAATAAAAATAAATAATAATAATAATAAAAGTTGGAAGGGACCTTGGAGGTCATCTAGTCCAACCACCTGCTCAGGTAGGAAAGCCTATACCAGTGATGGTGAACCTATGGCACGGGTGCCAGTGGTGGCACTCAGAGCCCTCTCTGTGGGCATGCAAGCTGTCGCCCCAGTCCTAGGTCTTCAGCTGGGTTTTATAAAACCTTTTCACTTTAGGCCTCCGCCACCGTGTGCAAAAAAAAAAAAAAGGATTCAATCAATCAGTCAATTTCAACTTCTTGCAGAAAAAAAAGATCTTGCAAAGTTGGAATTGATTGATTGAACTTTTTAGTCCCACCCAGTCTGCCGTTACCACTGCAGCCAGCCAATGGGCCACACCCACCTGGCACCCGACGATGCCTAAGTGGGTTTTGAGTTGCAGTTTGGGCACTCGGTCTCTAAAAGGTTTGCCATCACTGGCCATTTCAGACAAATGGCTGTCCAGTCTCTTCTTAAAAACTTCCAGTGTTGGAGCATTCACAGCTTCTGGAGGCAGGTTGTTCCACTAGTTAATTGTTCTAACTGTCAGAAAATTTCTCCTTAATTCTAAGTTGCTTCTCTCCTTTAATTTCTTATAACTGCTCATCTCAGCCAATGCATTGCAAAACATAAAAACAATTTAAACAATACAAATAAATATGTATGGCACCAAGTAAAATTGTCATTGTGAATATAAAAACAATTATAAATATAAAAATGAATTAAAATGGAAATATTTTTCATTACAAATTTAAAAAAAACCCCATGGGATCAGAGCAGATATGGTGTCTTCTCTGTCACTGCATCAACCACCTCCAGGCTACACCTTCTCCCTTAGGGCCCCATGACAACCAACACACCTAAGGCTGGAGAATTCTGGGAACTGAAGTCCACAAGTCTTAAAGTTGCTAAGGTTGGACATCTCAGGTTTAGGCCTTAGTATCATTGTTCTCTTTGCAAATAAGGAAGAATTGCTAGGAGGAAGAAACCATCATAGACTGGTTTCCTTGATTCCCAGGAAGTTGAATTGTAAATACAGAGCTCCACTTCTCATCTCAATTACCAGAACATAGAACCAAACTTTTCCATGTATTTTATTTTTCTGCAGATGCCCAGAAATGTGAACTAATTTGCCAGTCTGAGGAAACTGGAGATGTGGTATTTATGAATCAGGTTGTTCACGATGGTACCAGGTGCACCTACAGAGATCCATACAGTATCTGTGTAAGGGGTGAATGTGTGGTATGTAACTTGCAGGTCCATTCAAGTTTTAGAAACTTTTCTAAAATGAGTTATAATAGATATGTGACAGACGTTCTCTGATTTCAATGCCAGCAGTGGCCATGGTAAAGTTATGCAGACAATTCTTGACTTGTCACCACAATTAAGCCCCAAATTTCCATTGCTAAGCAAGGCAGTTGTTAAGTGAGTTTTGCCTCATTTTATGACCTTGCCACAGTTGTTAAGTGAATCACTATAGTTGTTGAGTAAATCATGTATTAATTTAGTAAATCCGGCTTCCCACATTGACTTTGCTTATTGGAAGCCAGTTGGGAAGATTACAGACAGTGATCACATGATCCTGGGACAGTGCAACCGTCATAAGTACATGCCAGTTACCAAGCACCCGAATTTTAATCATGCTGCAACAGTCATAAGTGTGAAAAATGGTCATAAGTTATTTTTTCAATGCCGTTGTAACGTTAAACGGTCACCAAACAAATGGTTGTGTTGAGGACCAGAACTACCTGGAAAGCCCTGGATGAGAGTCGGTTGCACTAAAACATTTCAGCAATGATGATTTAAACACACTCATAACGTCACGCTCTTCAGCTGCAAAGTTTAGCATTTTCTGCCTTCCAAGGAATTATTTCACATAAACAAGAACTAGGTTTTATTGAAAGCAGATTAGGGATACAGAAGATAAACACACAAACAATAAATAATCTTCCCGTCAAATGTGCAGCAGCAGAAAAAGTGAAAGGTACATACTAAGTCACAGTTCTGAAGAGCCACTGCCATATACAGCAAATGAACAGATTGTGTACTTAAAGCAGAATATCCATATATGTTTTAAGTTCCAGTAGAAAATGCCAGGCCTTGGAATAAACCATATGAGGAATATCTGAAAGAAATGCATTGGCAAACCAGGAAATGCAATTATATAGATTTTTTTAAACTTTTGTTTTGATTTTAAAATACATTTTATTGATTTGTGAGGCTCCTTTAAAATATAAATATAAGTAGGCCTATTTGGTTAAATCTGATCGTCTGATGGTTGCCCACAAAGTAAATCAATACCAGCTGGAAGTTCTGGGAATTGGAAGTCCACACAGCTTAAAGTTGCCAAGGTTGAGAGATACTGAAGTATATCATCCCGTCATACAGAGAGAAATATTAAACTGTACTCTGCAAGGCCTCTTCCGAGTTCATTTCAAGGATTGCCATTTTGAATTTGCATCCTTAACCCCATTTCCTAATAATGTGTTTTTCTTCTTTGAATGGCAGCATGTTGGGTGCGACAGAGAAATAGGTTCTCTGAAGGAGGATGACAAGTGTGGTGTTTGCGGGGGTGACAATTCCCATTGTAGAACAGTGAAGGGGACTTTGGTCAAAACCCCCAAGCAGTCAGGTGAGAATGGAAGAACAAATGCTACTTGAAAAGGTAATGATAGTGGATTTAGCATCACAATTAAAGGTAAACACAGTCTTCTATACTTCAGCATATGTTTATAATCTTGGCGTACCATAGCAATTCTCTAACATAAATAATGTGCTTCCATCCTCTTTAAATTTTTTGAGTCCTTGATAGTTATGGAAAATAATATAATAATATTATATAAATCATTATACAATAATATAATATAAAGATAATATTATAATCAGCTCTTGGAAGCTATAGGGCACGGGTCTTCAAACTTGGCCCTTTTATGACTTGTGGACTTCAACTCCCAGAATTCCTCAGCCAGCTTGAAGTCCACAAGTCATAAAAGTCCACAAGTCATAATTCTGGGAGTTGAAGTCCACAAGTTTGAAGACCCCTGCTATAAGGGAAGCCTATGGGTGTTGACAGTAATATGGAAATGGCTGCCGCTTATGATTTTTGGAATGTTTTCCCACCTAACTAGTCTAGCTGACCACTCTAGCCATCCACACTATCATTTCTTGATTGTTTACCAATGCAATCCTGTTTAGATGTTTTTGAGATCAGCTAAAGTCAACTAGATCCTGCCAGCTGCTCTACTTTGGATAGAAAGCCAGACATTGACTTCAGCAGCAATAAATAACACTTTCTTAGGTGTGACAGCAAATTGCTTTTAAGAGGGCTTGACATGATCCAGGTGATATTTAAGAAAATTTGAAGTACCTAGAAAAAGTGGCAGGCTTTTAGAAAAAAAGACAACTGGAAAAGTTCAGTAGCAGACATGGGTGGTGGTTATAGGTAGTCTGAAATGGGAACCTCTGAGTGGAGGTCTGAACTGAGTAATTATTACAAGTGAACTCAACTATAAGTAAAAGTTTAGCCCATTGTTTTGCTGATAATTTCCACTGCGACAGAGATATTGCTCTAAGGTGGCATTTGTCATCTGTTTCTCCAGCAGAATCTGGATGACAGGCAGAGAATAGATGGAAACTTACATCCAATAATTAAAATTGAACTTTCCAATAACATGCTATGATTTAAGGATCTGTGTAAAAAAATGAGACAAATGAGCAAAGATGGAGTTTCTGATAAATTGTTGAATGAAGAGCAAGCTGTTTCAAGGGCAGGTGGAGGGACATACCAAGGAATGAAATAGATCACCTTAGAAGACAGGTGACTGTCATGAGAATGGCATCCTGATCTTTAATTGTGGTAGCTCCTAGGGAACTATACCCAAAGACCCTGTGGGCAAGGGATGTATCACTCCAAGTGAGATTAAAATAAATATAGGTCTTGATGTTTGCTATAATGTGAGGCTACTAGAAGATGGGCCCTTTTGAATACTCCAAAGTGCCCAGCTTTATTTCCCTCAAAAAAGGAGGGAAATAGATCCAGTTGTTTTGGTGCAGTTCCTCCTGTTCTCCCAAGAAGTGATCCACTGCCCATATCCTGACTGCCCACATATGAGCCCTGCGTTTGTTGGGCATGGATTGAATCAGAGAAGGAATTTCTCTTCCTTTTTTCAAAGTCCTCACCATGAGGAAATAGGGCCTATTTTGCTGGCTACAGATTGGAGGCTAATGGAGGATTGTAAAATAAGATGCATTATAATTTATAGGTTGAAGCATCAGTCTTTTGTTAAAATGAAAAAAAGAACTAACCTGGCTTGTGTGAGCCTGTGAGAAGTTTATAACCACATTCCTATGGTTAGTTCAGACTACTCAATACTGATGCCAAAAAGCCCCCTTTATAGCCAAAATTTCCTTATTAAAATAAAAAAAGAATTATATTCATGGGAAATATTGTTCATCTCTGAAAGATTAAGGGGCTGCCTGACAATTCTGCAGTAGGATACTGCTATATTTTCTTTTTTTTTTTAATTGAAAATTTTTATTTTTTAAAACATACAATCATTTATAAAAATACAATAAAATTTTAGAGATACTACTATATTTTCAAACTTATATTGGCAACTAAAGGCAGCTAAATATTCATGACTTTTAATCCCTGATTCAGGAAGTGGCTTATTCTAGAAGGCTCTCAAACATGTGACTGAGGAATAAAGACATATAAGGGCAGGAGATTGCCCGCTATGATATGCAGAAATCAAAGCCTTAAATTATTATGATTTTTTCCTTCAAACTGTTTATATCAATGCATATTTGGTCATTTTCTTTGTGGTTAAGGAAGACACCGTATCCGAGTTAACATAATAGTTCTTTGTAGCCTAGAAACTGCTGATTCCTGTCTCAGCAGCTTCATTTTTTATGCATATTTAGGACTCATCCCCAACAATAACACTGTCCATTTTAAATATGGCTTATTTCTTTTGCTATTTTTAGGGGGTGCTCTGAAAATGTTTGAGATTCCAGTAGGTGCCAGGCATGTTCTAATTGAGGAGATGGAACCTGCATCCCATATAATTGGTAAGAACAAATTGCCTGGGAAACAATTACATATTGTACTGTGTATTCCGAGGGATGTTTAACAAATGTTTGTCAAAAAAGCAGAAGGGCTGAATCTAGTCGAAATTAAAGTTCAACCAAAACAGATATTTATTTCACATGAACTCATTGAAGCTGATTTTCGGCTGAGTTCATGGTTTTTCCAAAAGCTGCCTTTGCATATCAGCCAATTAATATTTTTAAACAGTTTCTTTATAACCTGTGCCTACTTTATCCAGTTGTCATTTCCAAAATATAAATAGGCACTACAGGCTTGATTTCCGCGTGGATTATCTATTATTAAAGTAGACAAGAGTTAATTTTGTGCCAGTAGTTTTAGTCCCTAGTGACTGCATGGACAAATGATTTCTAACAACAACAAACTTTCAATATGATAGAGTACAAAAATTTGACTCCACCTAACATTTTGAAGGAGACTGAGAAAAGTAGCTTGCATATTCTACTGCTACTAGGAAATTCTAATTAAGTTATAGAGAAAACATGCTTTTTCACTGCACCACATCCCCTTCTTCTTATAATTCTCATAGTTAATAAAGGACAGGTGCCTATACCACATTCTGTTGTTTTATAAGTGCAAAAATGTACTGAAACGGGGGCAGATTTAAACCAATAAACAAAATAACATTTAACAGGGAAAACATGTCCCTGTACAACTTCAGGGCTTTCTATACCTAAACAATGTCTGTATCATTGTCCGCTCTTCCTTTTGAAGGATGTTGATGAGAGCCATAATCCAAATAATGTCAGGCGCAAGAAATCAGGACCCAGGACAGAGTTCAAAAAGGCTACAAATTAATTTCACGTTACCTGTATATAAGAATCTGAACTACTAATGGTCAAGGTGAATTGGTGCCATATAAGATCAATGGAATTCTTGGGGTTTGGATTAGATCTCTTGTGGCAGCGTAGTGATTCCAAACTGATGGTGCGTTTGACCCCACCCTCAGACTCAGCCTGTTCATCTGCTGCAAATAATTTATTTTCCTTTTCTAGCTGTTAAGAACCAAGACTCTGGTGACTTCCTTATCAAGCCAAACATCAAAAGTGTCAAGAACCAGACTTTTCTAAAGGTGGGTTTGGAATGGGAATACACCACTGAGAATGGCAAGGAAAGCTTGAGGACTAGTGGTCCCCTTCATCAAGCTATCAATGTTCTGGTAAGTCCTGAGGATATCTTAGGCTCCCACACATCTGTATAAAAAAAGCACAAGTATTGTTTTCTTGTTTGAAACCAGGAATGTGAGAACTGCAGCCTGCAAGTCATAACTTTCTGTGCTCCTTCCCAGGTTCCCCCAAAGTGTGTGGGACTGAAAGCTTGGATTCCAGTTCTTTTGTGGTTTTGAAGAAAGGGGTATCCATGTTGTTTCTTTGAGCAAGTGGAAGAGAGCTATTTCCCTCTTCTATTTGCTATCCCAGTGATGGTGAACCTTTTAGAGACCGAGTGCCCAAACTGCAACCCAAAACCCACTTATGCATCGTCGGGTGCCGGGTGGGTGTGGCCCATTGGGTGGGCGTGGCTGCAGTGGTAACAGCAGACTGGGTGGGACTAAAAAGTTCAATCAGTCAATTCCAACTTTGCAAGATCTTTTTTTTCCTGCGAGAAGTTGAAATTGACTGATTGATTGAATCTTTTTTTTTTTGTACACGGCAGCTGACGCCTAAAACGAAAAGGTTTTATAAAACCCAGCTGAATGCCTAGGACTGGGGCGACAGCGTGCGTGCCCACAGAGAGGACTCTGAGTGCCGCCTCTGGCACCCATGCCATAGGTTCGCCACCACTGTGCTATCCCATCTACAGGCAGTCCTCAATTTATGAACCACAATTGGAACAAGAATTTCCATTGCCAAGCAAGGCAATTGGTACATGAATCGTGCCTAATTTTAAAAGCCTTTTTTTGCCACCGAATCACTGAAGTTGTTAAGTGAATTGAGCGGTTATTAAGCAAACTCAGCTTCCCCCATTGATTTTGCTTGTCAGAAGCCGGCTGGGAAGGTCACAAATGGTGATCATATGATCCTGGGATGCCGCAACTATTGTAAATAGATTCCAGTTATCGCCCTCCGGCCAGATTACCCAAAATGTATAATGGATATTCATCTATGTGTTGGAAATGTAAAAAAGAAAAGGGCACCTTTTTTCATGTATGGTGGACTTGTAGAGAAGCACAGGTGTATTGGTTTATGGTCTGGGATTGGGCAATAGAAATGACTAGGCAAAACATTCAATACAAACCGGAGACATTACTATTAGGAATACTAGAGAAAAATGTAAATAAAGAGGACACATATTTAATTATCCATGTAGTCACAGTAGCAAGGATACTATTTGCTCAAAAGTAGAAAGCAATGGAAGTACCGAGTGGGGAAGTACTAATAAAGAAAATTATGTATTGCGCAGAACTAGATAGGATAACAAAAAGATTAAAAAATCAGGAAGAATCAGAATTTTATCAAATATGGAATAAATTTTATAGATGGAGGAGAAAAAATGGAGGTCACAGTAAAGAGATAAACTGAGATAGAGACTAGAAATGTATAGTTGTATATAGGTATATTATATGTAATTAATGTTCAATATGGACTGAGATGTTACTCAAAGACGATTTACCATGTTCAATGTTTTTAATCCTTTTTTTTCTTTGTACTTAATAAAAAATTAAAAAAAAAAGTAAATAGATGCCAGTTACCAAGTGCCTAAATTTTGATCACATGACTGTAGTGATGTTATGACGGATATAAGTCTGAGGGCCCATCAAAAGTCACCTTTATAAATGGTGTTCTAACTCTGAAGGTTGCCGAATGAATGGTTGCAAGTCAAGGACCACTTTATATTAAAGACGAAAAGGCTATATTGGTTTTTTCTTATCAGTAGAGGGAGCTATAACACTGAAAGTTTCCATATAATACCCCCCCCCCAATGACATAAAACCACCTGCAATAATAAAATAAAATAAAATAATAAATTTAAAATAGATTTTAAAAGAGGTCACATTCATTAGGGAGTGCAGTTCTCAAGTCACTATACAAATCACACTAAACAGCCCTGAGGCAATAAACCTCTGGAACCCATCTCTATTGACTGTGTGTGTGTGAGAGTGCGTGTGCTTGCATGTGTGCACCTTCGAGTCACTTTTGACTCATGGTGAGTGCTTGGACTAATGCATGCATGTTTTCTTAGCAAGCTTTTTCAGAAATAGTTTGCCCATTGCCTCTTTCCCAGAGCTAAGACAAAGGGACTGACCTAAGATCATCAGCCAATTAGCTTTGGCTTAGGTGGGATTAGAACTCTCCAGTCCAGGGGTTCTCAACCTTGGCAACTTTAAGACTTGTGGACTTCAACTCCCAGAATTCCTCAGCCAGCTTTGCTGGCTGAGGAATTCTGGGAATTGAAGTCCACAAGTCTTAAAGTTGCCAAGGTTGAGAACCCCTGCTCCAGTCTCTTAGTTTCTGGCCTGTTGTCTTAACCACCACACCAGACTGGCTTTCCATCTCTCTTGCTCATGGCAACTAGTTCAGAATCCTTGTACACAGTTGTCAGTTAAGTAAGTGTGGTAAAACAGCCCTCCAAGAAGAAAGGCAGTTAAGAACTCAAGAACATAAAGGAAGCATTTTTTTATTATTATCTTATTTCCTTTGATTCCAGGTCATCCCACAAGATGATAGTTCCAAAAGCAGCTTGATGTATAAATATATAATTCATGAAGATCTTCTCCCTGTCATCGGAAACAATAATGTCCTTCTTGAAGAAACAGATACCTATGAGTGGGCCCTTAAGGGCTGGTCTCCGTGCTCAAAAGCTTGTGGTGGAGGTATTATTCTCTCTCTATGCTTAGAACTACTTTCCATATGCAAGCAAGTCCTGGAATGGCCCAGGTCAGATGGATCTGTATTTAAAAATGTAAGGGAAGTCCTTTCTAGAAAAGGTACTGGATGATGAACGCTGAAGGCTACAGGATCTGGAGTGTCAAACAGCCACTAAATGGAAGGAAAGAGTTTACAATTTTCTACATTTCTTTCTTTTTTCTTTTTTTTTAAAAAAAACCACTTTATTTTCTTTTAGAGGTATTCAAAAATACAATAACTCCCCCCCCAGAAAGGACAGTAAGACAAACAAACAAACAAACAAACAAAAAGATATACAAGCATAATGAGATTGAATAAACATTTCAAAGTAATATTAGATTAGGGCACATATTAAAATACCTTGTCTTGGTTTAGAACTTCAGAACTGTATTAGAGGAAGTCAATAGATCCTAGAAAGGGTGCAGAGAAGAGCAACAAAGATGATAGAGTATGAAGGCTAAATCGTATGATGAACAGTTGAGGGAAATAGGTATGTCTAGCACAGGGGTAGGCAACCTTGGCTCTTTTATGACTCTTTTATGACTCGTGGACTTCAACTCCCAGAATTCCTGAGCCAGCTTGGAATGGAGTTGAAGTTGAAGTCCACGAGTCATAAAAGAGCCAAGGTTGCCTACCCCTGGTCTAGCCTATTAAAGAGAAGAATTGGGGCGGGACATGATAACTGTCTTCCATTGCTTGAGGGGTTGTCATAATGAAGAGAGGATTGACTTATTTTCCAAAGCACCAGAGGGCAGGAAGCAATAGGTGGAAGCTTGTTAAAGAGAGATTCAACCTGAAACTAAGGAAGTTTCCTGACAGAGCAATTAATGGAATAGCTTGCCTCCCAAATGGGAATGGTATAATGTCTCCTGCCTTGAGAAGAGGCTGGACTAGAAGACCTCCAAGCTCCTTTCCAGCCCTATGATTCTATGTTCTATGTAATAATTAATAGCCAATATAATATGCATCAAGTCTTGTGTTTGTATGCTCTTACTGCCATCAGGATTTTTCTAAGCAAGCTGTCCCATTGTTTAATTGTTTTTGCTGTCAGAAAATATCCACCCGTTGCTTCTTGTAGTGAGAAACAGCTGGCAATATTTGCAAAGCGATAGAGCCCTTTTAGAAAAGGTTGCGGTTCCTTTTAGGACCCATCTGGCACAACATATTCCCCATTAATCAAGAAATGAATGAATGAATGTAAACAAAATGCCCGACATAAAAACAAAAGAAGTTTTTGAAAAGCTCAATCTGAATGTGTTGACTCAAGCTTGTTTTTCTAATATTGCAGCTACAAAATTTGATTTTTCAAGGATAAGCTTTGGGAACACCCATACTAATAATCCCAGATAGTAGTTAAGAATTGCTTTTTTATTCTTTTTGGGGGCTTTTGTTGTCATTATGGATAACCTCATTAGACTGGCATTTTTCACTCATATGTCCAAATATTTCATTGAAAAATACATTAGGGGTAACACCAAAATATGCTGGTTCAAAATCTGTCATCTCAACCAGCCTGCTAGAACAGGGCTCCCCAACCTTTAAACAAGGGCATGAATCTTGTAAATCTGGTAAAATGTAGAAGAGCAGGGCGCTAACTAGAGCCTTGATTTGTAATCACTGGATTTCAGGAGAGGTTCTAAATTCATCTCCTGCATGGAGGTCTGCCAAATGTTTTCTATCATTATTGCCACCTAATATGGACTAAACTTTTGTGCTTTGTTAATTCTGCTATCATGAATTCTTCATACTGCTCACAAAGTTTACGAGTGATTTTGAAATATTGTCCAAGTCAAGAATTGATTACAGTAGTAGTAGTGATTTTACAACTGCAATTGAGACCAGAAATTCTTTTGCTAAGAGTTGCATCTGATTTTATAACCTTTTCTGCCCCTGTTGTTAAATGAATCAATACAGTTGTTCAGTGACTTTGCTTGTCAGAAACCAGCTGCGAATTTTGCAAATGACAATCATGTGACCCCAGGATCCTACAGTTGTCAGAAATACATGCTAGTTGCCAAGCGCCTGAATTTTGATCACGTAACTAATATCTATGTCTATCTGTCTGTCTATCTGTCTGTTTATCTATCTGTATCTGTATGTATATGAATATGTATTTGCATATGTGTATATATCACATAACTATATATGTGTGTGCATATATGTAACTAATATATATATATATATAAGTGTGTGTGTGTGTGTAAACTACATTAAAATTATAATGTAAAATACAAATGGGAAATGGGGAAATGAAGAAGGAAAAAGAGACGTGTGCAATTAGAGGGGAAAAAATGTAAATTTCAACATTTTTTTTAGTACAGTAGAACACAAATAGTAAAGTTACAGCCTCAACGTTTTACTTTTACATATTTAGTAAATACTAATAATTTCTATAACAACAAACTAATCTAATCATCAAATCCCAAAGTCAAAATTTCTTTTTTTTTCTGTCTCAAGCACAAAATCTAGAAGTGGTTTCCAAGCAGAAACAAAACCAGATATACAGGTAGTCCTCAACTTACAACAGTTCATTTAGTGACCATTCAAAGTTACAAAGGCAATGAAAAAAGTGACTTATGACTGTTTTTCACGCTTACAACCATTGCAGCTTCCCCATGGTCACGTGATCAAAATTCAGACACTTGGCAACTAACTCATAGTTACGACAGTGGCAGTATCCCAGGATCATGGGATCCTCTTTTGTGACCTTCTGACAAGCAAAGTCAAAGGGAAAACCAGATTTACTTAACAACCATGTTACTAACTTAACAACTGTAGCAACTCATTTAACAACTGTAGCAAGAAAGGTTGTAAAATGGGGCAAAACTCACTTAACAAATGTCTCACGTAGCAACATAAATTTGGCGATCCATTGTGGTCATAAGTCGAGGATTAAAACAGTTAATTTGACTGTTTCTGCTAGTTCCATCACTTTTTCCATCCATTATTCCATTGTGGGGATTGACACATCTTTCCATTTTTGCAGATAAAGAATTCTTGGTGCAGTCAACATATACAAGAACAAATTTCCCATATATATATTTTTTGCTAGTTCCTTTAGGACTAGTCCTAAAAGGAAAATCTGTGGTTTCAGTTTTATATTCATTTTAGGAATCTTCTGCATTACAATATGCAACATTTTTTTGCTTTTACCCCTGGTGATAAAACATTCCTTCTTTGCAATTGTAATTTGCAACATGCATTTGAAATGCCTTTATTTGTTTTCCTTTTGCGACCTTGCAGGAATACAATACGCCAAGTATGGATGCCGGAGGAAGAGTGACAACCGAATGTTACACCGCAACTTCTGTGGCAATGGGAAGAAACCGAAGCCAATCCGCAGAAGATGTAACGTGCAAGAGTGCTCTCAACCAATGTGAGTGCTGCTTTCATTAACAGTTCAGGTAGTCCTCAACTTACAACAGTTCATTTAGTGATCATTCAAAGTTACAACAGCATTGAAAAAAGGGACTTATTACAGTTTTTCACACTTACGACTGTTACAGCATCCACATGGTCACGTGACAAAATTTAGGGGCTTGGCAACTGGCATGTCTTTTCTACAATGGCAGCATGATGGAGTCATGTGATCACCATTTGTAACTTTCCCAGCTGGCGTCCGACAAGCAAAGTCAATAGGGGAAGCCAGATTTGCTTACAACCACATGGTGCAGTGATTTGCTTAACAACTGTGGCAAAAAGGTCATAAAATGAGGCAAAACACAATTGGCTGTCTTGATTAGCAACAGAAATTTTAGGCTCCATTGTGGTCATAAGCTGAGGACTGTCCGTATTGCTATGGTGGTGACAGAACTTGTGGGTTATAATTCATGAATCACTGTTATCCATTTCTTTATCCACCTAAACGTGTATAATAAGCCTAACTTGCAAGCATACATAAACTTGCATAAGTAGCATTTTTTTGGAAGATTTATGTTCTTTATAAAAAAAAAAAAGGCTCAGATACTGGGCCCAATGAGAGAGAGAAAGAAATCCATGTTTTTTTATTTTATTAAACCACTGACCAATTTATCTTTATATGTATTATAAGAAAATACATTTTCAATGCCCCCAGGTTCACATGGGATATTTTTGTAAGACACTGTATGATAAAATCACAAATTAGCAAATCTTGAATGCCAAGAAAAATATAATTCTAGTTGTAAATATTAAGAGAGAGCACCCATGCAGCTACAACTTTTTGTAAAAAAAGTTATTACAAACCAGCTTTTTTTTGTTGCTCACAATAAAGGTTTGTTCTCTGGTTATTAGCCTTATTTATTGCTGAAAATCAAATCACAGTTTCCCAAATTAAATGAGGTTAAATAGAGGTGTGTTTAAGGAGTTTCTTTCTTGTTGACTGGGAAATTCTAGGGGTTGAAGTCCACACATCTTAAAGATGTTGAGGTTGAAAAATATTGATCTAGATTATATGAGCTTGCAAATACAATCTGGAATATTATCCCAGTTGACATTGGTCAGAAAGGATTTAGGACATTAATTGTTAGGCATTCACAATCCTGAGTTTTGCTATTCTCTTGGCAGCTGGGGGACTGAGCAGTGGGGTGCCTGCAGCAAATCCTGCGGCAAACTGGGGGTCCAGGTCAGAGTGGTGCAGTGTGTACAACAGCTGCAGAATGGTACAAACCGGACTATGCACTCAAAGAACTGCGCAGGAGAGAAACCAGATACTCGGAGGTCTTGCAGCCGCATCCCGTGTCCTGCTCAATGGAGGACAGGGCCTTGGTCTCAGGTAAGGTATCTGCCCCTTGTGGTCACATCACTGCCTTAACAGATTATGGAGATAGTAGCTCTGTCATCTCTTTCTTCCTCTCACAGGTACTCATGAAATGGAAATGGAAAAGAGGCTTTTGTTTTAATCATATCAAAACACCCTGTCTCAAGCAGTCTGTTGAAACCTTTGGAAGTGGCTTTGTTTCCCCAAAATAAAATGCAAAATATTTTTGAGTGTTTGGGTCCTAGGAAACCATATGAACAGAGGTTATAGGAGAGTCGTGTTAGTATATATAGTGGTAAAATAAGTAATCAAGAAGTGCTAGTACCATTTCATCTGACTAACAAATTTTATGGAAAGGCATAATCTCTCATGAATTGCGGCCTACTTTATCGGATGCTGTTTAATAAAATTTGTTAATTGAGTCAGGAAATGCTGCCTGCTCCCTTCTTTTCACTCCATAATCAGAAGAACTAATGAGGTAGCAGTGCCTAAAATACAGTTTGCAAAAATTTTGGCAAAATAACAGTTTTGTGTGTGTGGGGGGGAACTTTAGCTTTATTTTCCTCTTGTGTTGTCTTTCCCAAATTCAGTGACAAATGTGTCCTCCTTCTGTCCTGGGGATAGACTGATTGAAAATAATGTAAAGAGAAATTAGCAGGCTGGCTCTCCTTTCGCTCTCTGTTTCTTTTTTTAAAAAAAGACCCTAATCTCTCACTTTTTAATCAATTGCCATTTCCAGAGGCAGAAGATGCTCTGCAGAAAATGAATTCCACTCGGGCCATTAATACAAATGCAGTCTTCTTCAAAAAATGCTTTGATGTACATCTGACTGGTTTATCTTGATAGAGGGTCTAAAAATGAATATTTAGAAAATAACATTTAAGTTCCAAGAGGTGGGACAGCTTTGAATCACATTAACTAAAACAGCACAAAACACCCAGCTCTCCTGCTCAGAATTGCTATGTTTTTGTTTCATCCACAACTCCAAATTCACACAACACCTGTGTTTTGTTTGGAGTGCAAAATCCCTGAGACAAATGTTTCACACTTAAAACATTTTGAGTCTGGTCTATTTTGTGCATCCTTTCTACCTATTGATTACATCAAGTCGTGGCTTGTCAGAGTATAGTGCAAATGTGTTTGGAAAAAATAGAAAATGGAATTTGTCAGATCCAATCATTGAAGTATTTTACTTGGAATGTTTTATTTCAATTTTTTTCAGTGTGTATTTCACAACCTCTCCAGATATATTGAATCTACAATTTATTTCAGATAACTGAAGAGAATGTAATGACAGTCCCCATCTACTTCCTTCAGCTGATTGCATGGTTAGAATAAATACTGATTTGGTATATCTCCAAAACCTTGACTTGGCAATATACTTTGGATTTTAAACACATTATTACTTTATCTCTAAGTCTTGTTGAGCATTGATTCTAGCATTGTAATCTGTGAATCATTCAGGTAGTTTAGCATATTGTCAATTTTAATTCATGTTTTTAATTTTTTTTATGTTTGGGTTTAGTTTGTATTTTGTTTATATTGTTAGATACTTTGGGTACTTGTGTTTTAATTGGATGTGCCACTCACAGTCACATGCAATATAGCAATATAAATTCAATAAATAAAAAAAAGAGGGGAGGGGAGAGGAGGGAAGGGAAATCCAGGTATAGCATTTTTCAAATTTGGCTAGATTCTGCACAGCAGCATTGGGGATTTGCCAGAAACACAAACATTTTTCAGGGGTTCTCAACCTTGGCAACTTTAAGACTTGTGGACTTCAACTCCCAGAATTCCTCAGCCAGAATTCTGGGAGTTGAAGTCCACAAGTCTTAAGGTTGCCAAGGTTGAGAACCCCTGTTTTAGATCTTTTCAATAATCTTTTATAATTAATTTTATTACATGTTTTTATCCAGCATTAAACTATACTCAATGTATTTTTATTGTCAGGTCAATATGATTCAGTTTTTCTGAAGGTAACTAGGTTTTGTTATACTGTCTGTAAAACTAGGCAGTCCTTGGTCACCCATCGATTGCATCATTAATTGTAATATATTGCTATGTCTTCTTGTATTGGTTCTGTTTAGTTTTGTTTTATTTGAATGTTTAATTTATGTGTTGGCCTTTGGCTGTAATAATAAATAGATTACCGATGACTGAATTTGGCTACTTTAAGATGTGTGAATTTCGTCTCCCAGTATGATGGCTGGGAACTTATGGAAATTGAAGTTCACACATCTTATAGTTACCAAATTTAAAAAACACTAGGAAAACCATGAGCACACCAATCTTTTGCAACCCATAGAATAGAATAGAGCTGGAAGGGACCTTGGAGGTTTTCTAGTCCAGTCCCCAACTTAAGCAGGAGAACCTACACCATCTCAGACAAGTGATTGTCTAATCTTTTTGTAAAGATCTCCAGTGATGGGGTGCTCACGATTTCTGGAGGCAAGCTGTTCCACTGGTTGATTGTCCTCACTGTCAGGAAGTTTCTCCTTAAATCCAGGTTGTTTCTCTCCTTGATCAGTTTCCAACAATTGTTTCTTGTTCTGCCCTCTGGTGTTCTGGTGAACAACCCGACCCCCTCTTCCTTGTGGCAACCCCTCAGATACTGGAACACTGCTATCAAGTCTCCCCTATTTCTTCTTTTCTTTAGACTAACCAAACCCAAGCCCTGCAGCTGTTCTTCATATGCTTTAGTCTCCAGGCCTTTGATCATCTTGGTTGCTCTTCTCTGAATTTTCACAATTAGATTTGTGGTGCCTCCTAGATGGAGCTGCCTTCTTCATTTAATTTTTTTATATCCCACGAGGACTCTTTTAATAGCTACAACTTTCCTTCTTTTCACTTTCTTGATCGATCTGTTTTTCTCCTCCTCCTATGGCAGTGCTCAGTCAGCTGTGGAGAAGGCATTCAACAACGCCAAGTGATCTGCAAGTCCAATGATAACAGCATTGGCCAGTGTGACAGTGAGAAGCCGGAGGCTTTCCAAGTTTGCCAACTGGAAGAATGCCCAGGTGAGAGAACCTGGAATTGTGCAAGGAATTAAATAACAGTGTCTATAAGTGTGTAATGAAATGAAATAGCTCCATTGTTAGAAACAACACAAACCAGAATGTCAGAATGCTGATCAACACATAATGTGAATGGCTCTATGCTTGCACAGACACAATAAGCTTTTTTTGCTTTCTATTTGGGAGTCCATATTCAAGGCTTTCAGGGACAACATGTTGACTTGGTGCAAGGAGTAAACTTCTACTTAGAGAAAGGAAGTGGAGGAGGATAGAAAGCTGTCTGAGAAATCTCTGGGGTGCAGAAACTACTCAGCCTATCAGGAAGTGAGAAAAAAATGTGATTTGTTCTCAGCCATATGGGGCAGAAGAGGGAGTTTCTACACACACACCCATCATAAATAATAGAATAAAAAATTGGAAGGTCTTCTAATCTAGTCCAATCCCTTGTCCAGTCAGGAAACCCTAGGTCATCTCAGACAAGTGGTTGTCCAATCTCTTCTTAAAAACCCTGAGTGTTGGAGCATCTACAACTTCTGGAGGCAATTCGTTCCACTGATTGCGTGCCATAGGTTCGCCACCACTGGTGTAATGCTTTCATTATGTTAATGAAAGTGGTAGATTCTGCAGATGCCTCTGTCCTGAATATATGATTTCCTTGGAGCTGCCTCCAAAAATATTATTTCCAAGAAGCTTAGGCTACAATAAGCTGTGTAATGAGAAGGAAGGACTCACTGGAAAAGGGCCTAATGCTGGGAAAGATTGAGGGCAATAGAAGAATGGGACGACAGAGAATGAGATGGCTGGATGGAGTCACTGAAGCAGTAGGTGTGAACTTAAATGGACTCCAGAAGATGGTAGAGGACAGGAAGACCTGGAGGAACGTTGTCCATGGGGTCGCGATGGGTCGGACACGACTTCGCAATTAACAACAACAACAACAAGCTGTGTAAAGTAGCGCCCCACCAATCTTTGGGGTGCCAAGGACCAGTTCCATGGAAGGCAGTTTTTCTGTGGACTGGAGGGGTGGTGTTCTGTGCTGCCTGATTCTATCGCATGCGCAGATGGAGTTTGCTCACTTGCATGACCCAGTTTCTGGCAAGCCAGTCTACAGCCTGGGAATTGGAGACCCCTGGTTTAAAGGAACAAAGTACATGTATCCCTTGAATCACTATTACAACAGGGGCTGAATTTTCAATTGCTAAGCAAGTCATCAATGACCAGATTCAGTTTTATGATCATTTTACCATGATCATTAAGTGAATCATCACAGTCATTAGGCAAATGTGGTTTCCCCAACAGACATTGCTTGTCAGAAATCAGCTGGGAAGATTGTACGTGGCAATCATGTGACCATAGGATGCTGCAACCAGTTGTAAATGCAGACCAGCTGCCAAGCACATGAATTGCGATCATGTAACCCTGGGTCATAAATCACTTTTTCTGATGCTGTGGTAACTTTGAACCATTGTTAAGCAAATGGTCATGAGTCAAGGACTACCTGTATACCTGTTTGGGATTTTCTTCAGAAGGCTTAAATCAGGGGTCTTCAAACTTGGCCCTCTTATAACTTGTGGACTTCAACTCCCAGAATTCCTCAGCCATCGTGCCAGTTGAAGTCCGCAAGTCATAAAAGGGCCAAGTTTGAAGACCCCTGGCTTAAACCATCTCGCCAAAAGTGGAAGACTATTCTGGGGAAAGGTCTAGTGACCCATCTACTTTCAAGCTGAGATCCAGATGTGTTCTTTTACTTCTTTTCCTTCAGGAAGGCCACCAAATGTCACAGCAAATGCAAACACCAGCAATCACGTGACTCCGCAGGTTCAGTGGGTTTCAGAGGAGAGTGTCAAACATCCTGTTAGCAAGGTATCATCAAGTAAGTGCAGACTTTCATATTCTGAATCAACTTCTCTTAGCTCCTCTATGCTCTTTGGCATAGGAAAATTTTATTCAGAAAATATTAGAATTGCCATCCAGGTTGTGACAGCTTTACTATAATTCCCTGTATTTAGTATATGTAAAATATTAAAATGGAAGATTTTACTCAGAACAAGCAGACTCTATTCCCAAAATGCATTTGGGTTTCCTTGTCATGTGTCTGATCTCCAAACTGAATTTGGGAAAACTGCCTTCTTAGAGATGCATTATTCCAAATGTTTTCTGGAATACTGAGAAGATGGGATGCTCTCAATCTCACTATGTAAGTGAATGAATACATTTACTAAAATCTAATAAACTTTTTTTAAAAAAATCATTTGCTAAACCACCAAACATAATTTGCTTTGCCAGCTATCTAATAAATGTGCAAGTGAATTAAGTAAATTAAATAAATAAAAAACCCAATAGCCAAAAATGGATCTTTGTAAAATAAAATCAGAAAGATGCTGCTCTTATTGTCCAGATAACTATCATCTGAATAACCACTGAATGGAAATAATGAGAGAAGCAATTCTTGAGAAGAACAGAATGATCTTGCTTTGCTGGTGGCAATAAATTGTTCCTTATGTTATAGTACACCAAGCTTAGTACATACTTTCATAATGTGGAAAGTATTTAATTAGCTTCCACTAAAAATATGTATGGTCCCAGTGAGATTAATGCCGATTCATTAGTATAATTCCTTATACTTTATACAAGCTTTCCAAGATTGTATTCCTGTCTGTTCAGTCTTATTAGGGTGGCTAATAGCTACTCAGAAGTAAAGTGGATGAGTTAGGGAGGCATATTCTGAGATAAGTGTATGCAGGACCATGGTTTTTCTTTGCATTTTTTTCTCAGTTTTTTTTTCTTTTTAGTAAATTCAGCTGCCATCCAGTATCCTTTAGATATCTGCAAATAGCCCAGATCTATCTATTCTGTTCTAAAAGCTGCTTCTTTGCATAAAGTTTAATCACATTTCTACATTGGTATTTCTGCCTGCCTGATTTATATTTTTTAAGCCTTCTTAAGCCAGGTTGGTTTAGCAGTTAAAGGTGTGCTAAAAATCAGGAGATGTGACTTCTAGTCCTGCATTAGACACAGAGCCAGGTGGTTGATTTTGGCCAGCCTCTTTCCCTCAGCTCTAGGAAGGAGGCAATGGCAACCTCTTTAAAAAAATGTTGCCAAGAAAAACTATACTGACTTGTTCATGGAGTCAAGAGTGACTAAAATGTAGAGCCTATAAAGATACTCTTCAGCATCTTTTCTGTTCATCTCTTCATCCTCTTATGTTGGGCTTCAGTGCTGAGCCCAGAGTTACCCTATGGTAAGATGGGTGGCCAATAAATTTTATAAATAAATAAATAAACGAACAAACAAATGAATCTTAATGCCATTGAAGTGCTTGTCCTTGTCTTCCATAAGCAATAAAGGATGTTCTTTTTTCTAAACAAGCATCAATTTAAATCAAAGTCTGTGTTGTAAACTTCATTTTAAAAATTGTTTATCATGAGAAACAGAAAATACATATCCCACTTCTATAGTCTATAGATTGTTGGAGCAAGGATTCTGATGTTGGAATTGACCATTTCTTCAGAGCAAAAGGCACTGGGAAAGGGAGAATGTTCATTCGTTTATGACTCCTGAGGAAAATCATCAGTAACACAGATCATGACACAAATAACATTGGCATCTTGAATTTCTGATAATCCTGTTTAGTTTACTCGATGTGTTTCCCTTGAAGGTTATTAGGTAGTATTAGAAAATCTGTGACTCCTCTTTTGTCTAATTTAGGGGTAGGCAACCTTGGCTCTTTTATGACTCGTGGACTTCAACTCCCAGAATTCCTGAGCCAGCATGGCTCAGCTTGGAAACCTCTCCCTTTCCCCTCAGCATGGCTGGCTCAGGAATTCTGGGAGTTGAAGTCCACGAGTCATAAAAGAGCCAAGGTTGCCTACCCCTGGTCTAATTCCATCTCTTTTCTTTTTCTTTCTTCTTGTTAATAACTCCTACTTCTAGCAGTGTTGTTATTGATTTGTGTATGCATCTGTGCTTCTCTTTCATTATTGCAAGAATGATGTAGACATAGTTGATTTAATTTGGATGTACTTGTATATAACAGGAGATTGTATTTGCATAATATTGGGGCATGAAGATTTACATTTTTTCTGACCATGATTATACGACTCAGAACATTCATTAGCTATATTTGAGATAGTTACAGGCAGTCCTCAGCTTACGATCACAATTGAGCCCAAAATTTGTGTTACTAAATGAAACATTTGTTAAGTGAGTTTTGCCCCATTATATGACCTTTCTTGCCACAGTTGTTAAGTTAGTAACATGGTTGTTAAGTGAATCTGGCTTCCCTGCTGACTTTGCTTGTCAGAAGGTTGCAAAAGGTGATTTCATAACCCTGGGACACTGCAACCGTCATAAATATGAGTCAGTTGCCAAGTGTCTCGATTTTGATGACATGGCCATGGGAAATGCTGCAGTTGTCGTAAGTATGAAAAACAGTCATAAGACACTTTTTTCAGTGTTGTAACTTTGGATGGTCACTAAATGAACTGTGGTAAGTCGAGGATTACCTGCATTGGATTTTTTTTTTTAACCTTTCCAACTCTGGGCATTTGGCAGCAGCTTGCCTGTCTGAGCAAAGGGTATTTCCACTCCACTTCAATAAATCTTTTTGTGATTTTTCTTGTCACAGAAGTGTCTTGCCTTGGGGACAAGTCTGTATTCTGCCAAATGGAAGTCCTGGCTCGATACTGCTCCATTCCCGGCTACAACAAGCTGTGCTGTGAATCCTGCAGCAAAAAAGTTGCCACCACTCGGCCTCCTGGTGTTGACCGCACAGCCCCTGAGACTGAAGTACAGGAGGGAGGTGTCCTTTCCAGCCCTTTGCCACTGCTGCCTTTCTATCCCACGGTTGCGAGTCATCTGCAAAGGATAAAGGCTACCACTTCAAAGGTGACAGAGGAGATTCACCCCTTGCTCACCACGATGACCAGTTTAACAGCCCACCGCTTATGCCGTATGACTACTCCCTGGCATTGTCCCGAGAACAGAACCACAAGAGTTAGAAGATCAGGTAGCCTGTCTTCTCTTTGCCAGCTGAGAGCTGGGAGGATCACTGAGAACCTCCAGATTAACTCAACACTGCAGTGGTTCCCTTTGATGTTGGACAAAATTTTAGCGGCATCTCAGGAGGACAGCAAATCCTCCCATGTCTCTTCAGGTGTAGCAGAACGGAGAGGAGACAATGGGATGTCAGAACAGCCAGATGCCTTTCCCAGGAACTCCTCCTCAACATTGACATGAGCATGGCTATTTTTTGCTAGAACTCTCTCTCTCTCTCCCTCTCTCTCTCTCCCTCCCTCTCTCTCTCTCTTTCTTTCTCTCTTTCTCTCTCTCCCTCCCTCCCTCCCTCCCTCCCTCCCTCTCTCTCTCTCTCTCTCTTTTTCCACAGATTCTGTGGAGTGCTATCAAGATGTTTCTCAGTTCCTTCAGTTGAAGGATACAAAGCAATTGCCCATTCATTTATAATAGCAACAACATTTTTGCTCTTTTGTAGCACTTTTCTAAAGGCCTAAAAAGCCAAAGAAAGCCAGAAGCAAAAGGGTACAGTTACAGCTGCCATTTTTCTTACAACGAGAAGCCAAGAGTGATTTAACTCTCACTGCCTCTAGATCAGGGGTGTCAAACTCCGGTCCGCGGCCCGGTTGCATCATGCAGAGGCCGTGCCCACCCCTGTTCTGGCAATGGGGAAAAAGTCACGATACGTCGGGACACGTCACACTATGTGGCGAGTTTGACACCTGTGCTCTAGATTATTTAAGAGCATTATATTCAGTAAGCAACTTTTTTCTTTAAAGGTGCTAACAAGATTTTTTTTTTTAAGTAATAAGGGAACAAAAACAAAACACCCAAACCCAGGGATCTTGTTTTCTTCCTCCTTGGTTTCTGCCCATTTCTGCTGCTATTCCTGTCATTCTGAAATGGGCTTTTTATTACATAGCTGTAAGGACCCACCCCACTTTGCATCTTAAGAAGACAGAACTCTTGGAATAATTCTTCCAACAGGAATCCTTTATTAAGAGAAAATGGTTGCAGGCATGCTAGACAGGACTTGGGGTTCAAGCTCTTCCATTCAAGGTTTTAAGGGTTTCCCCAGTAGTCCCACCCAATCAACCCCCCTTCCAGTGATAGTTTCAAATATCACAATTCCACCCCCTTTCTTCTTTCTTCCGTCTGGATGGAGACTTCAGATAACTACATGAAAGGCAAATACCCTTCTTTGGTATGCTAACGCTTTGAGGTTACAATAAACACACATTCAGCATTCAGCTCTTTGAAGTGTCCTGAAGGAAGTGAGGGCCATAAAGCCCCTTTGTTCTCCCCCTTCTCTCCCTCTTATGGCAGAATCCAGAGAAGGCAGAATTGGGAGTTTCTATATTTGTTAATTAAAGATGAAATATAATTGGATTCTGACATCCGGCCCCTCTTAAAAATAAGAGAGATCCACCTGAAAGAAAACACAAGTATAAATTTAGTCAGGCTTGTTAGGATACTCTGTGTGAAACTTCTTCAATAGCTTCGGGGCTCTGACATGACGTTTATGGACCCACCCGTTTTGTGAGGGAGGGAGGTGTTTCCAGCAACTAGGTACTGAGTTGCTCCATGATATCTCCTAGAATCAAGGATTTCCTTTATTTCGAAGTCTTGTTCACCATGAGTGGAGGTGGTGGGGGGGGGATTTTTGGCCATAGAGGTGACTGATGCTCTCTTTTCAGCAAGCTGCAATGAAAAATTGGGTGTATTTGCCTGAGATTTTTGGGTAATTCTAATTCTACTGTTACTGGATTTATGATTCTTTTAATTGGAAAAGGGCCTATATATTTTGGTCCAAGTTTTTTACAGGGCTGTAGGGACTTTAGGTATTTTGTAGATAAGTACACCATCTCTCCTATAATGAATGGTGTAGGCTCAACCCTTTTTTTATCGGCTTGTGTTTTGTATGCCTGCCTAGCTTCATCTAGTGCTTTTCTGACTATTGGCCAGGTGTTTTGTAATTTCTCCATCCATTCTTTCAGCGAAGGGATCGTTGGTTCGTTTGGGGTTAATTCTGGCATGCGGTTGAAACTTTGACCGGTGGCTATTTGAAAAGGAGTGTAACCTGTGCTGGAGTGGACTGCATTATTGTAGGCAACTTCTGCAAAAGGAAGTAAGTCCGTCCAATCACTCTGTTGGAAATTTAAAAAGCATCTCAAATATTGCTCAAGTACTGAATGGCACCATTCCGTTTGTCCATCTGTCTGAGGGTGATGGCTAGATGTCAGTCCCTGAGTGGTCCCTAAGAGAGATAAAAATTCCTTCCAAAATGCAGACGTAAATTGCACTCCCCTATCAGAGATGATGCGTTGGGGTGCCCCGTGCAATCTGTAAATGTGCTGGATGAAAAGTCTTGCTAAGGCCTTTGCAGTGGGAATCTTTTGGCAATGGATAAAGTGCACCTGTTTGGAAAACAAGTCCGTGACTGTCCAGATAACAGTATTCCCATTGCTTTCTGGCAATTCCACTATAAAATCCATGGCTATTTCCCTCCAGGGGGCTGAGGGACTTGCCACTGGTTGTAATAGCCCTGGCGATTTCCCTTGCAACCTCTTTGCTGATGCACAGGTTGGGCAGCTGGCAACATAACTTTCTATGTCCTTTTTTATTGATGGCCACCAAAATTGCCGTTTAATTAAGTGTAAAGTTTTTACAAATCCAAAATGCCCTGCTGATTTTGTGTCATGGCAAAGGTGCATGAAAGTTAGTCTTTGAGTTGTTGGTATATATAACTTTTCCCCTACCCAAGGCAACCCGTCTCTCATTGTGCACACATGTTTGTTTTTCTGGAACCATTCATCTGTTTCCAAACTTTTTCTGAATTCAATCCCAGTTTGGCTGTCCAGTTGTGGTTTTATTTTGGCTTGGGTTCTTGTGGTTACTGGTGCTGCCAGTTGTGACTCTGCCATTATTGGTCTAGAGTCTGTGGTTCGTGCGCTGTTATATTGGGGCATGCGAGATAGTGCATCTGCCAGGAAGTTCTTTCTTCCTGGTAAATGTTTGAGCTTAAATTGGAATTGGTGAAAATGCTGGGACCAGCGGGCTTGTTTGGGGTTGAGTTTCCTGGAAGTTTTCAGGGCTTCTAAATTTTTGTGATTAGTCCACACCTGGAAGGGGATTTTGTTGCCTTCCAGGAACTGTTGCCACGTGACTAATGCCCAACGTATCCCATAAGCCTCCTTCTCCCATACGGGCCAGCGCTGTTCTGTTTCCGTGAGTTTCTTGGATGTATATGCACAGGGTTGCAATACTGCATCATCATTTTCTTGTAATAGCACAGCCCCCACTGCCACATCACTTGCATCTGCCTGTATTATGAAGGGCTTGTCCATGTCTGGGTGCCTTAGTACTGGTTCGGCAGAAAAAAGTCTCTTTAGTCTCTCAAACGCTGCTTGGCACTCCATTGTCCATGTTAGTGGCTGGCTAGGTTTTACTGAGGATGTTCCCTTCGTTTTTAGTAAGTTAGTGAGGGGCAAGGCTATCTGTGCAAATGAGGGGATGAATTGGCGGTAAAAATTTGCAAAGCCCAGGAAACTTTGTAGTTGCTTTCTTGTGCGGGGTGGTGCCCAATCTAGTACTGCTTTGACCTTCTCCGGGTCCATTTCAATGCCCTGTGGGGATATGCGATAGCCTAGGTAGTCTATCCTTTCCTGGTGGAATTCGCATTTTGAGAGTTTGGCATATAGGTGAGCGGCTCGCAGCTTCTTTAAAACCGCTCTGACAAGTTTGACGTGTTCTTCTTTTGTTTCAGTAAAGATAAGAATGTCATCCAAGTAAACAAGGACCCCCTTAAACAGGTGCTCCCTTAGAACGTCATTGATTAATTGCATAAAGACTGCAGGGCCCCCTTGTAATCCAAATGGCAAGACTTTGAATTGATAGCACCCCATGGGGCAGTTAAATGCAGTCTTCCATTCGTCCCCTTCCTTAATTCTCACGCGATAGTAAGCTTCCCTTAGGTCTAGTTTAGAAAAAATTTTCCCTTTCGATAGGTGTGACAGCATGTCTTTCATGAGGGGCAGCGGGTATAGGTTGCTTTCACTGATTGTATTCAGGGCCCTATAATCCACGCATAAACGTAAAGAGCCATCCTTCTTCTCTCTAAAAAGGACCGGGGCAGCCACTTTAGGCTTGGCTGGCTCAATGAAACCTCTCTCCAGGTTTTTTTTTATAAATCTTTCCATTTCCTCCTTCTCCTTTGGGCTCATGGAGTATAATCTGGGCTTCGGGAGTTTTGCCCCAGGCTTGAATTCAATGGTACAGTCTGTGGGTCGGTGGGGGGGAAGCTCATTCGCCCTCTCCTCACTGAAGACTTCAGCAAGGTCCCTATATTCCTCTGGTATTTCTGTTAATCTTTTTTCCTCTCCTATGGATGCTTTTTCTATTCTTGATTCTGGTAGCCTCCCTTGGGGTTTTAAGTCCATAGGGTCCCCCTTCGGGAATTTGATTTCTGTCGTCCTCCAATTTACCCAGGGGTTCCATTTTTTCAACCATTCCATCCCTAGAATCATTGGGCATTCCATACCTGGGGTCACCACAAACGTTAAGTCCTCTTCATGGTTGCCCAGGGAGAGGTGTATTGGCAGAGTGGCTAGGGTAGCTGGCACCCCCCCTGCTATGGATCCATCTAGCTGGCCAAATGAGATTGGTTGTTCCAGTCTCCTGGATGGGATGCCCAGATTCCCCACTAGTGTTGGGCTAATGAGGCAGCGGGTGCAGCCAGAGTCTATTAAGGCTTTCACCTTCACAGCTTCGGGCATGGGGGGGATTAATATAGTCACTGTTTTGAAGATGGGTGTGATGCATCCACTTACCAGGGGTTCGCCCTCCGAGCTGTCATCTGAGGCATCCACCGTCCCTGTGGTGTAGGCTGGAGTTCTTTCCCCTTGGTGAGCAGAGGTGGGGGTTTCTGCAATTTCCATCATTCTCATGGCTGTTTCTTTTGGCTTAGCTGAATACTCTCTGGGTTTGTTGATTGGGGATCTGTCTGGGTTGTGCTGGGGGGCCTTTGAGCGGCATTCTACAGCTCGATGCCCTTCTCTTCCGCACTTGAAACACCCCATTTGCTTCTTGGCTGTATCCGATGATTTCACCGGTTGGTGTGTCAGCTCAGGCGGGGGGCGGCTCCATTGTTTTCCTCGGCGATGCCTCTTCAATATGTCGATCTCTGCTTCCTCTGCCAAGACGTACCATTCCTCAAGTCGATGTGGGTCCCCTCGGGGCAGGCAAGCATCATATAGATCATAGTTTAGTCC